CACAGCTCTCCTTCTGGGGGGGACATCGAGTGGTCTCCGGAGCTGGCAGCTCGCTGACCTAGGAGAAGACAGACCCCGAGGGGCAGAGGGCCGTCTCTGCCTATCACATGGGGGGACCCATGGGGCAGGAGATGCCTGGGCCCCGGGGTATGGAACACACAGGGATGTGCAGGCTTGTGGGGGGGGGTAAGGCCTTGGGGTCCCCAGGTCATCATTGGCTCCTCACCCGCACAGACGACGCCTGCGTCCTCCTCGTGAGAACAGATGTGGGGCTTCCAGCCCCGGGGCAGGCACAGGCCCAGCTGTCCCTCACTGCCCCGGCAGGCTAGCTCACTGAGCCACACGGGGCCCGTGCCCTCCCCGAAGAAGGCGCCCCCGGGGGCCGCCAGCGCGGCCCCACAGCCCAGCTCCCGGCAGGCCACCGCCGCATCCCGCAGGTCCCAGCCGTCGTCACACACAGTGCCCCAGCGCCCACCATGCCACACCTCCAGACGGCCTGCGCAGCTGTGGGGGCCGTCGGCCAGGCGCAGCCGCTCTGGGGAGGAGAGGGGGAGAGGGCAAAGCTGTGACACCCCCCCCCAGCAGGACCATGGCTGAGGCCTGAAGCCGGGGGGGGGGGGGGGGGGGGGGGCTTGAGGGCTGACAGGGGACTGTCCTGCAGGGTGACACCAGGGGCCGAGCCATCCGGGCTGCTAGACCAGCCTCCTGAGTGTTGAGGATTTTCCCAGGGATGTTAACCCTCCCCTCAAGGGACCCTGGTCCAGGTGCCCTGATCAGGTCCAGGGTGGGGAGGGGCAGGCCAGGACTCTCAGAGGTATGCTTGGGGCTGTGGGAGAGGGGGGGGCACAGGTAGGGGGTCAGATGGGAGGAGAGGGGACACTTACCCACAGCCTGGATCCTCACCAGTACTGCTGCAGGGAGGTGGGAAGGTGGCATGAGGACACCCCCCCCCCGCCCCCACATGCACAGTCCCCCACCCCACCCCCATCACAGACATCCAGCCCTCCTGCACCTCAGGGCCAGAAATCCTCTTGCTGAGAAGTAGCAGACTCTGGGCACAGCACCAGGATTAGCTACAGATCCTTGGGGTGGGGCCGCAAATGCTTGGCCCCCAAAGTCAGAGCTGTGCCTGTGATGCCCCCTGAGCTGGAGGCAATTCCTGGGCTTGCTGGGGCGGGAGGCGGGGGGGGGGGGGGGGGAGCTGGCAGGCAGCGGGCTGAGTCCCTCAGCCAGCCAGATGTCAGGGCATCCCAGAGCCCCAGGAGCAGCATCAGGAAGCCCGACCCTAAACTGCATGAGCTAAGGGGTCAGAGGTGGGGGTCAGGTCCCCAGCTGCCCAGGGGGTGGGGGTGGATCACTCACCAAGGAGACAGGCCAAGACCCTCATGTTTGCAGATTCCAGGGCAGGGGACAAGGCAGGGTGAGAGGGAAGGAGGGCAGGGGAGGGCAGGGGAAGAGGAGGTGGCTTGGGAGAGGGAGGGAAGCGCCTGGCCTGCCGGCGCCCTGGACAGCAGCAGCAAGCAGGCTGGAGGCTTTGCCAGGAGGGAAAGAGGCTGCAGGGAGGGGTAAGGGACTGGAGGGGGGAGGGGGCAGGCCAGCTGAGCTGGGGGAGGGGGCAGGCAAGAGGTGTCCGACTACCGACACCCACGAAGACGGCCAGGCAGCGCCTACAGCCCTGTGCTCTGGGCTGCTTGGGGCTGGCAGGCTGGAAGAAGGGACAGGCCTGAGCTTCGGGGAATGGCCAAGGCAGGGGCACACCCTACAGCCTCCTCTCTTGTCCAGCCAGGGGAGTGTGGCTAGGGCAGGAAGATCTGGGCACTCCTTCAGTAGCAAGGGGGGTTCTAGCCAGATACAAGGAAGGATTTCCTGGATGAGGAAGGCTGAGAAGCCCCTCTCCCCACGCAATGCCCACCATTGGTGGGCTTCAACGGGAAGCCTCCCATCCTCATTGGAGTAGCTGAAAGTAAGAGTTTTCAAAAGGGGGAAAGAGAGATGCAAGGACCAAGGGTCACAGCTTGGGTAGGGAAAAAGGGATCTGCACTCTTACGCGCGCGCACACGCGCGCACACACACACACACACACACACACACACACACACACACTCCTGGCAGGCAGCTGCAAGAGGAAAAAATTCGGTAATGGGGAGCGTGAGTCAGAAGGCCTGGCGGGGACGGGGCTACCAGTAAGCTCAGGCCGCCTTCCCAAGCCCAGCCCCCGAATGCCAACAATTAATGTCAACTTGTAGAGGAGGAGCCAGACAGAAAGGGGGGGTCCAGAGCAGACTGGAAAAGACATCAGAGAAGAGTCAGACGTACAGCGGTTCCAGGCTTTATTAACAAATGGGTGTAAAAAACCAGATGATCCAAAGGCCCTGTGCCCACCAGTGGGGACCTTGTGCCAAATTTTAACTCTCCCCTCTCCCCCAAATATCCCTCCCAGGTCTGTGGACCGACAGACAGACAGACTTCCCATGCAGTCTAAGGCAGGGTGGGTGGGGTGAGCTCAGACAGCCATTCTGCTCTGAGTTCAGACACCGCCTGTGTGTGGGGGGGAGGGGCGGCACTGGGTGAAGGGGTGTCTGGGTCTTTAGCCCTCAGCAGGCCTGCGCTAGGAGGGTCGGGGAAGCCATGAGGGAGCAAAGGAGGCAAGGTGCCTGGCTCACAAGTGCCCATTCCATGCGGGCCTCCCTTCCCGCACCCCTCGTGGCCATGAGAAGACACACGGAGGTTGCGTCACAAGTCCTTGCTGAACTCCCTCACCAGTGTGTAGCCCAGGCAGCCCCAGCCACTCTCAGCCTGGTAACCACAGCCCTCCAGCAGCCCTGCTGCCCCCCAAGCTGCCACGGCCACAGGGACCACCAGCCGGGCTCGAGGCTCCCCCATGCCTCCGGCCCAGGCACGAGCCCGGGCCTCAGCGAAGGCCAGAAGCCTCCGGCCCACGCCCCGGCGGCGGTGCCAACGAGAGACCGACAAGCGGGTAATCCGAGCACCGTCCCCTGCATGGGTGCCGGGAGCGAGTGCCAGCACGCCACACACATCACCAGAGCCCCGAACAGCAACCCAGGGGCCCCCAAGGCCCCCTGGTGGGGGCAGAGAGCCCCAGCGGGCCCGCAGGCCCAGCTTCACAGCAGCCACAGCCAGGAACACAGGCAGCAGGAGGGCGAGGGCGAAGGAGGCCAGGACGAAGCGCAGGCCGCTGCTGGCTGCAGCCAAGAGGAGCAGGGCTGGTGGCCGGGTCAGAGCATGGAGGGCCACACGGTTCTCCGTGTCCTTTACGCCAGCCTGTAGGAGTGGGGTGCGGTCAGCCATCCATCACACTGGAGCGCCCATGCTAGGACAGGAGCTGGACCTTGCCAGGGGTCAGGGTGGGGCTTCCAGTGAGTGAGTGAATGGTGGTGGATGAGGGAGGAGTCCTGGGGGCCTCCAAATCGGGGAGGCACTGGAAAGAGGCACCCAGGAAGTCACTCTGGAAAGATGGGGATTCTGGAACAGAATAGGATGGGGAAACCAACGCCATGGAATCTGCTCAGAAGAATCTAGAGGCCAGGCCTTGGTGGCTCACACTTGCAGTTCTAGCTAACTCAGGAGGCTGAGATCTGAGGATTAAGGCTCAAAACGGGGATAGGTAGGAATCTGTGAGACTTATCTCCAATTAACAACCAAAAAGCTGCAAGTGGAGCTATGGCTCAAGTGGTAGAGTACTAGACTTGGGCAAGAAAGCTCAAAGACTCTGCCAGGCCCTGAGTTCAGGCCCCGGCCAGACACAGGTATGCACGCAGGTATACACACACAAATCTGGGGTCCGAGCAGGCTGCTTACTGGGCCGGCGAGTGCAGCCAGGGGAGCCCGGTCCTCAGCTCCCGCACCTCGCCATCGAGTGAAAGCCAGAGCGGTGGAGGTGCGGGTCAGCGAGCGCGGGCGCCCCGGGAAGGGAGCAGCTCAGGAAGACCCCCGCTCCGGAGGAGCCACTGGCTCGCTGCCTTCCCGCCGCCGGCCTCTCACCTTCAGCATCTCCAGCACCAGAGGCTTCTCATCTTCCCTCATCTCCCGCACCGACAGGTGGCTGGGAGCCATCAGCAGCCGCGCGGCTGCCGCCCCCGGGAGGGAGCTAGCGAGGCGCACCTGGTGGAAACAAGGCCGGCATCAGGCGGACGCACCAAGGCTGGGGCGGGGGGGATGCATTTCCCGGGCCGGGCCTCCGAGGGCCCCGGAGCCCCGCGACCTTCCCCGGACCCTGCTCCCGCTGGCCCGCAGCGGTCTGCCCTTGCACAGGCGGGGGCGCAGTCCGGGCCCCCGGCGCCCCTCCGCCCCACCTCGCCCCGCCCCGCCCCGCCCCGTGAGCACCTCCACGGGTCCGTCCTTTGATACCACGCAGGGGAGCAGGGTCGGGAAGGGGGTCGCCGGCGGAAGTGACGTCACGCCCTACCGGCGGGGGCGGGGCCACGCCCGACCTTAGCAACCGTTGCCACGTGGGCGGGAGGGGCGGCGTCCCGGTGGCCGCCGGGGGGCCCAGCAGTCGCAACCCCGCGCAGGAGGGCTGGAGGGGAGCTCACAGACCCCGGAGAACCAAGGCGGAGGACATACCTAGCCCACTGGCCGGCGGGGGCCGCTGCCGCCGGCCGGCCACCCCACCATCCCTAGTTGCTAGGAGACGTCAGCACTGGGAGGAGGGAGAGCGCCCCCACTCCTAGGGCGCCGAGTGTGCAGAGGCCTCAGGGAGGGGTCAGGGGTCAAGGGTCGGGGCAACCTGGGGTGCGCGGCTGCAGTGCCCCGCTGTTTTCAGAGGACAGAACACGTCACAGAGCCAGCATCCTGACTCCAAGACCTCGCGCCACAGCCAAGGCAGCACCGCACTCCAAGGCTCCTCCAAGGAGGCACCAAGGCCAGCGAGTTCGGCTCCCGCCCGCCAGAACCAAGGGGGCCTGCAAGCTCCCAGCCAGGGCTACAGCCCCGACTGCTCCCTCTACCCAAGAAGACAAAACAAAGGGCTTTCTGGTCTTTATTAGCAAGCCCAGCCAGCAGGTCCCTGACCCCTGGGCCAAGCCGGCCGAGGGCAAAAGGCTAGGGTCTGTGCAGGGAGATGAACCGGTGCTTCTCCTCAAAACGTGTGCACCAACTGGACCGCGGGCAGGGTCTGCACGATCTGGATGGCGGGCAGGCCCGGCGGGGCCCCGACCCCAGGCCCGGAGCCCACGGGGACCACCTGTAACATCTGGGAGGTGGGAGTGGTGGGCGGACCCCCGGGGCCAGAGGCCGCGCCAGGCGGCGGCTGCGGGGCCAGGAGCTGCAGCGTGGTGGTGCCGGGCCCAACACCACTGCTGTCCAGCAGCTCGGTGGCGGGGGCGCTGCGGATGATGAGCAGTTTCTGTCCTGGTGGGCTGGGGGCGGAGGTCTCCGTCAGCCCAGGGGCCAGGGTCTCTACCTCCTGCACACACAGCCGCGTCTGCTCCCCATCAGCGCCGCTCAGCACCAGCACACTCTGCAACCCCTCATCCGTCTGTAGTGTCTCGAAGAGCACATCCTGGACCATGCTGGCGCTGGCCTCGCCATCCCCGGCATCCCCCGGGCCTGGGCTCGTGAGCAGTTCCTCCGCCGCCCCGCCCTGAACCACCAGCAGGTTTGGGGCCTCAGTGGCCATAGCTCCCCCACTGGCACTGGAAAGCTGGCTGGCCAGGGGCTGGAGCTGGACCGTGGTCACTTCCTGCGTGGGCTGCAGCTGGACTGTAGTCACTTCCTGCGCTGGCTGCAGCTGGACCCCACTCACTTCCGCTGGCCCTGCCTCTCCAACTCCTACATTCTGCAAAACAATAAGGCTCTGCCCTCCCCCCGCACCGGCCACTGCACCGCCTCCCCCCTGCACCCCCAGACCTCCAGGACCAGGCAACCACATCACCCCTGTTCCCTGCCTGGCCTTCCCTGCCGCACAGGGGCCCTGCCTGGTGGGGCAGCCCCCACTGGTGGTGGCGGGAGGTAGCAGGATGAGCTTGGGGGGTGCGGGTGGGGGCGGGGGAGGCTGGACACTGCTGGGGATCAGCTGCAGGCCCTGAGCCGTCTGCACCAGGAGGAACGTCTGGGAGTTGGGCGCCACTGGGGCCGGGGCTGGGGCCGCGCTCCCCGCCACCTCAAGGGAGAGCGTGGCCTGGAGGTGGGGGAGCACGTGGACATCCTGGGTGGCCAGCGGAGCCTGGGCGGCGGCCAGCGGGGCTGGGGGCTGGGGACCAGAGGGGGCCGCGGGGGCTGGCGCGTGCGTCCTCAGGTGACGCTGCAGGTAGGCGGCCATGACGAAGCCGCGCCCACACACAGGGCAGGAGAAAGGGCGCTCGGCCGAGTGCGTGCGCTGGTGCAACAGCAGGTTGGAGGAGTGTGTGAAGGTCTTGGGGCACAGCGGGCAGCGGAAGGGCCGCTCGCCCGTGTGCACGCGCTGGTGCTGACGCAGGTTGGAGGTCTGCGCGAAGCTCTTGCCACACACGCCGCAGGCGTAGGGCCGTTCGCCGGTGTGCACGTGCCGGTGTCGCCGCAGGCAGGAGGTGTTGCGGAAGGCCTTGCCGCAGTCCCCACAAGCATAGGGCCGCTCGCCCGAGTGCAGCCGCAGGTGGTACTGGTAGTGCGAGGACCACTTGAAGGTGAGGCCGCACTGGCCACAAGCGAAGGCGCGCAGGCCGGTGTGCACGCGCTGGTGGATGGCGAGCAGCGACGAGCGCTTGAAGGCCTTGCCGCACTCGCCGCACTGATAGGGCCGCTCGCCGGTGTGGTCCCGCAGGTGGTAGCGCAGCCCCGAAGAGCCCTTGAAGGCCTTGCCGCACTCGGCGCACTTATAGGGCCGCTCGGTGGGCGCGGGCACGGGGCCCGGCGGCTCCTGCGGGCAGGTAACCTCGGCCGCCTGGGCCGGGGGTGGCGGACGCCCGGCCGCTGCCTCCTCCACGTGGCTCTGCTGGTGCGCCAGGAGGCTGGCGAGCTGCGGGAAGGCGCCGTCGCAGCTGCCGCAGCGGAAAGCCTGGCCACCCGCGCCGTGGCTGTGCTGGTGGCGGGACAGGCCAGCCACTGTCCGGAAGGCCTTCCCGCAGGGCAGGCAGGCGAAGCTGGGTGCAGGGCCAAGTGGCGGGGCCGCGGGCTCGGCGGGCGGCGGGGGCGGAGGCGCGGCAGCGGCGTCCTGCGGGCCGGGGCAGGGCTGGTGCTCCAGCAGCAGCTCCTCGCTGCCGAAGCCCTGCTCGCAGCCAGCGCAGCGGAACACCAGCTCCACCGTGGTCTCGGCGGCCGCCAGGAAGAGCTCGGGCACGAGGGGCGGCGGGGGCGCGGGTGGCGGTGCGGCGGGCGTGGGTGGGCTGCGGGGCGGCGTGGGGCGCGGCAGGTAGGCATCCGAGACCAGGACCTGCGTGGCAGCGGCAGGGGCCGGAGTGCGCGCAGTGGCCACAGCAGTGGGGGCGGCGGGAGCAGCGGGGCCGTGCGTGCGCTGGTGCAACAGCAGGTTGGAGGAGTGTGTGAAGGTCTTGGGGCACAGCGGGCAGCGGAAGGGCCTCTCGCCCGTGTGCACGCGCTGGTGCTGCCGCAGGTTGGTGCTCTGTGTGAAGCTCTTGCCACACACGCCGCAGGCGTAGGGCCGCTCGCCGGTGTGCACGTGCCGGTGGCGCCGCAGGCTGGAAGAGTTCTTGAAGGCCTTGGGGCAGTCGGGGCAGGCGTAGGGCCGCTCGCCCGTGTGCAGCCGCAGGTGGTACTGGTAGTGTGATGACCACTTGAAGGCCAGGCCACACTGGCCGCAGGTAAAGGCGCGTAGGCCGGTGTGCACGCTGCGGTGGATCTGCAGCAGCGACGAGCGCTTGAAGGCCTTGGGGCAGTCGGGGCACTGGTAGGGCCGCTCACCTGTGTGCCCACGCTGGTGGTAGAGCAGCGCAGAGGAGCCCTTGAAGGCCTTGGGGCAGTCCGGACACTTGTAGGGCCGCTCGCCCGTGTGCGTGCGCTGGTGGTGCAGGAGCCGGGATGACCACCGGAACGACTTGCCACACTCCCCACACTCGTACTGGGCCGCTGGGGTGGGTGCCGTCGGGCCCGGCTTCTCCCCAGCCCCTTCAACCGTGGAGGCCGGCGCCATATCCACGTGGGAGCCAACCATCACACCTGGCGGGAGGATGCGAGTCAGGGTGGCCATCCTGCGGGGTCACAGGGCACCGCCCCCCAGGGTCACAAGAGAGCCAGGCAGGGGCCAAAACTGGATTGAGAGGGCCCTGCCCCAGGAAGCAGCTGTCTCCGCCAGACACAGGTGCCCGAGGCCACCACGCATGCACTCTGGGACAGGACCACCTCAGGCCTGCTCCGGTGAAGGCAGAAGCTGGGGGAGGGCATCCCGCTTCCCTCTGCCTCCGCGCAGCATCGCGTGACCCCTGCCCAACCCCTCACCTGTCACTGAACAGCCCCACATGTCCCGGCCGACACCCAACTTTCCAGCAGCCCCTCACACGCCCAGCATCGCACATGGGACACCCTTTCCCCTCCTGCTCCCAGCACTGCCACCCCTGAATACCCTCCATTGGACCTTGCCTGCCCCCCTCCTGCATCTCCTGAGACACCTGCCCCCCCAGCGTCTCCTGACACACCTGCCCTCCAGAGTGTCTCCTGACACACCTGCCCCCCAGCATCTTCTGACACACCTGCCCTCCAGAGTGTCTCCTGACACACCTGCCCCCAGAACATCTCCTGACACACCTGCCCTCCACAAACCATGTTTTGTTTTGTTTTTCTTTTTTTTTTTCAGGGGAGACCTTTATTTTTCTTTCTTAGTTTTGATTTGTTTATGTGGTACTTAGGAATCAAACCCAGGGCCTCATGCATGCTGGTAGGCATGCACTGTGCCACTAGGCCACATTCTAGCCCCCAGGTTTTGGACTCATGGCTTACCTGAATCTTGGGCAGGCTCTGACACTCAAGCCACACCCCCTAGCTGGCTTCCCATCTCTTTAAAGAACAACTCCTCACCGCCCCCTGCATAGGCAGCCTTCCTTCTTTCCATCCCTTTACATTGAAGACGCTCAAAGCCAATGGTCCTGGGGCTGGGAAGGTGGCTCAGTGGTAGAGTGCTTGCCTTGCATGCATGAGGCCCTGGGTTCGATTCCTCAGTACCACATAAACAGAAAAAAGCTGGAAATGGCGCTATGGCTCAAGTGGCAGAGTGCTAGCCCTGAGCTGAAGAGCTGAGGGACAGCACCCAGGCCTACAGTTCATGCCCCACTACTGACAAAAATAAATAAGTAAATAAATCAATAAAAATCTCCATGCTTCCATTAAAAAAAAAAAAAAAAGAGCCAATGGTCCTTTCCTCCTCAAAGCACGTCACATATATCTCCCCACTTCACCCAATGCCTGCCCCAGCTACTAAGTCCCAGAGCTGTGTCCACAAGGGTCCATCCACAATTCCTTCCCTGTCCATCCCCTGACTCCCAGAATGCCTCAGTCTCTACCACACAGGTAGACTGGGCGGAGGCAGGCCTGCTGTTCCTCTACCTGCCTTGTCTTTCTCCTCCTTTCAGTAATTTACAACTTAGGAATGGATGACTCCAAAGGCTTGTACCTCAAGTGTGACATGTTGGCACACACTTGTAATCCTTACACTTAGAAAGCCAAAGCAAGAGTGATCTCAAGTTAGAGGACAGTATGAGCTATATAGCAAGACCCTATCTCAAAACAACACTGTGTAGACCATCTTTTGTCCCATGGCTGCTAGACTGGGCCAAGTGCACATCTATGATAGCTTAGACTTTTTTTTTTTTTTTTGGTCAGTCATGGGACTTGAACTCTGGGCCTGGGCATTATTCCTCACCTCTTCAGCTCAAGGCGAGCACTCTAGCATTTGAGCCATAGTGCCACTTCTGGTTTTCTTGTGGTTAATTGGAGATAAGACTCTCACAGACTTTCCTGCTGGCTTTGAACCACGATCCTCAGATCTCAGCCTCCTGAGTAGCTAGGATTACAGGTGTGAGCCACCGCCGCCTTGTTTGCCTCCCCCTCCCCCCCCAGTTCTGGGGCTTGAACTCAGGGCCTAGGCACTGTCCCTGAGCTTCTTTTGCTCAAGGCTAGCACTCTACCATTTGAGCTACAGCACCACTTCTGGCTTTTTCAGTTTATCTGGTACTCAGGAATTGAACCTGGAGCTTCATGCATGCTAGGCAAGCACTCTACACTGAGCCACCTTCCCAGCCCTACATCTTAGACTTAACATGACCCAAATCTAACTCCATTTTTGTGCTCCTGTGCTCCTTACCAGAAATTAAACATGAAAAACTCTACTTAGCCCAAAGCCTCCTCTGAAAATGGGGATCCATTCTTCCTCACTTCCTCTGTCCCTGGGCCCCTATCCTGCCCTGTCAGCAGATTCCTCCGCTCCAGTTTGAATGCAGTCCCAAGGCAGCTTCTCTCACAGGCCCCATCCGGTCCCCAGGCCTGCCAGCTCCAACATCCTACCCCAGCTCCATCTTGTCACCCCTGCCCTTCCTACCCCAGTACCTTCCCAACACAGCTGCTAAAGGCTCTTATCCATAGAGAGGGCAAAGTATTTCATTCTTTGCTGAAAACCCTTCTACAGGCTGAGGGGGCTGTGGCTCAAATCACAGTGTGCTTGCTTAGCATTCTATCTTCAGTACTGGGGGTAGAACCAAGAGTTGCCAGGAAAGATCAAACTAGGTGGAAGGTGCAGGCAGGAGAATCTTGAGTTGAAGGCCAGCCTGCGCTACATAGTAAGACCCTATTTAAAAAAGAAAGACACACATTGCACACATCCCGGATTGGGGCAAAAGCCAGATTCCTCAGCACAGCCCTGACCTTGTCCCCTTCCTGACCTGTTCTACTAATGTTTCCCTGCCATGGAGGGAACAGACCCCTGGGCCTCTGCCTGGTGCCCTTCTCGACCCTCTGTGTCTCCACAGAAATCCCATCGGTTGGGCTGGAAAAGTGGCTCAGTGGTAGAGTGCTTGCCTTGCATGCATGAGGCCCTGGGTTCGATTCCTCAGCACCACATAAGCAGAAAAAAAAAAAAAAGCCAGTATTGTGGCTCAAGTGGTAGAGCGCTAGCCTTGAGCTGAAGAGCTGAGGGACAGCGCCCAGGCCCAGAGTTCAGGCCCCACGATCAGACCAAAAAAAAAGAAATCCCATCAGTGTGGTGCCAACAGCCTGGTCAAGTCTGAATCCCTCCCAACCCTCCCATCCTCAACCCTCAATGCCGGTTGGTCTCCATTGCCTTGATCACTTTCTGTGCACCACACAGCCATGGCTTTGCAGCCTCAGCAGTACAGTGCTGGGGCCGGGCTGTGCTGCCCCTGTGGTAGGATCTGGACCCAGCAGACAACTAGAACCAGGCCCCAGTGACCCTGGCCTAGCAAGTCCTCCTCTTCCACACTGTACAAACCTGGCTCTGGCACCCAGAAAGAAGTTGCACTGTCACATTTAGGGGAGCGGTACTGTTCAGGCCATACTGTCTCACTGACTACAACTGCTACATCAACACGTGCTTCCTGTTTCATCCTGCCTCCCTATACCAGAATGTCACAGCCGAAAAGACAAGGGCCTTTGTCCAGTGCCAGCGCCTGCCACGTCTGTCTGGCAGAGGGTAGGCTCAGTAACTGTGTTTTGAGTGAACAAAGGCTGGGAATCCCCTTTGGACAGACTAAAGGATTTCTTTTTTTTTAAGGGGTGTCTATGTAAAATGCAAGCAGATATTCTTAACGCAGGCATATTAAAAAGAAAAAAGAAAAGAAATGAAATGCCAGTGTTCTGGAGGAACGGGTCCATCTTAGCTGAGAACGCCCCCTTTAAGAGGCTGGACCACACCCTTGCAGCAGGCCGGCCTTCTTGGCTCCAACTGCAAACCCAGCTCCACCTTTGTCCAGGTATACTAGGGAACCAGAGCCAGGGCTGCAGCGCTTCCTTCGCTGTCTAAAAAACCGCCACTGGCTGCAATGAGATCATCCTCTTTAATGAGGGGAAAGAACAAAAAAAAAATTAAACTTCAAAAGAGGCGAAGACTGCCCCTCCCTCCACAGCAGCACCATACCCTTTAAGAGGGCGGAGCCAGCTCAATAGACAAAAGTCGGAGGCGAGACGGCAACCTTCCCTTTAAGTCACCCCTTCCGGTTTCACATCCGCCGTTTCCCAAACTACTCCGCCCTCCGGCCCCTCCCCCGCCGCGCCCTCCGGTCTCTCACCTGCGGCCCCTGTCTTGGGGGGACACGGGGGAGCCCCAGGACCTTCCCGCGGGGGCCGACGGGAAGTGGGAGCCCGGCACGGCGCGGCAGGAGCGGGGGCCGGGGAGGGGGCGGGGGCGCGCTCCCTCCCGACGGCCCCCGGCGCGAGGCACCCAACCTTTACCAGCGACCTCTCGCGCACACAAACCCCGCCGCCGCCGCCGCCGTGCGTCATGACGCAGTGCGCCGCTCCCGCCCCCACAGGCCACGCCCACCTGCCTGTGGTCCGGGCGCGCGCGCGGCGCGGGGGCCTGGGGCCGGGGGGCGGCGCGGGGGCCGTGGGGCGGCGCGGGGGCCGGGGGGCGGCGCGGGGGCCGGGGGCCGGGGGGCGGCGCGGGGGCCGGGGGCCGGGGGGCGGCGCGGGGGCCGGGGGCCGGGGGGCGGCGCGGGGGCCTGGGGCCGGGGGACAAGCCCGTGCCTTCCGATGAGCCTGTCCGGGAACGGCGCCCTCGCGCGCCCAGCAGGTCCCGGTCAGCTTCTGGGCAGTGGGCCCCGCTGACCCACCGTACTTCGCTTTGTCCGCAGAACTCTGGCCGACCCGGGGCCGGGGTGTCAGCGGAGCCCTTCAGTGTGCGCCTGGGAAGACGTCGACCCCATGTCTTCTCATTCACCTGGGGTGGACTCGACCTCCAGAGGGACCCTAGACCTGTGCGACCCCGAGTGCTGAGGCTGCAGGTCACGGGTCACCTCCTCAAAGAGTTCATCCTCGTCAAAGCGGCCCCTGGTCCCGCCCAACCTCCTCGCTGCTGGTCTCCGTGCCCTCGGCTCCTCTGGACCTGGGCATCATCCCTCCCCCCCACCTGCACCCCAGCCCACCCCTCCCTGCCTCATCCTCCATCTGCACATAGTAGGTGTTTTACGCACGTCGAATCAGTCACACACAAGACGTTGCAAAAGTTGGGGGTGGGGAGCCTGGTAATGGCCTGACCAGCAACACCACAACCCCCGCTCCCCACGACCGGTAACTCTCCCCTTGAGGGACAGACAGCAAGACGTCCACAGGCGTGTCTACACACACACACACACACACACACACACACACCTGTCCTGGTCAGGACAGAGGCAGACAATGGCTACAGGAATGTTCAGAACCTAAGAATCAGATGTTGAGATGCCAAGAGAGACTGCCGAGACAGAAGAGACAGAATTGATGACAATAGAGAGGAGACAGTAGTAGGCTCTCGGGAGGAATGATGGGGCCAGAGGGACATCAGTGGGTGTGCGGATGAGGCCTGGAGCTGCTGAGAACCCAAGACAACCAGCAGCTAGACCCTGGACATAGCTGAGAGACACCCTCCCTGTCCCCAACAGGGATGTCTGTCACCAGAGGCAGCTTCTCCATCTCTATGAATACCAGGGACCCTCAATAAAATACCTTGGTGCTACGTGCTGGTGGCTCATGTCTATAATCCCACTACTCAGAAGGCTGTGTTGCAGTTCAAAGCTAGCCTGGGCAGAAAAATTATCAAGATTCCTCTCTCCAATTAATCACCAAAAAGCCAGAAGCAGAGCTGTGTCCCAAGTGATAGAGCACTGGCTCTGGGTGGAAAAGCTGAAGGACAGTGCCTAGGACTTGAATTCAAACCTTAGTATGGGCACAAAGAAACAAATCCTGTTGGGGAAAACCAGGCTTCTGTGGTGGTTCCCCCCTACCACCCCACTTGGTTCACCCTGCCCCCTCCCCATTCACTACACCTCAAGATTCTGTGGCTACCCCAGAGAAGCCAGCCCCTCCTGTTGGCTAGAGACTCCTGTTGTCTAGAGACCTTGGGCCTCAGTTTCCCCTAAGGATCCTGGGCCTGGAACAAAGGGGCAGAGGAGGCATGTGGGGGGAGCTTGGGAGTAGATGGCTCACCTCCTCAGCTTCTTCCACCCACAAACACAGCACCGCACACAGCCACAGCGACAGAGTGCCAATTAAGGATCCTTAACGTTAATCGCTCAGGTTGACTCTGGCTATGGCCACAGGGCCTGCCTTCCCTAACTAGGCCTTTGTCCCCTTAATTGGTTATCTCCAGGCACTTTTTCTCTGCCTCTCTACCTCCGTGCTCCCATCTGATATCCCAGGCCCAACTATGTGCTAATTGGGTACCTGGGTAGAAAAGTGGGGCACACAGCTGGCCCCCCTGCCAACATTTGCCTTCCCGTGTCACCCCTCACCTGCCCCCAGGCCCAGCTGGGAGACACCACCGGCAAGAGCTCAGGCCTCATTCTCCTGGCACCCCTGTGTCCATCCACCTCACCTCTGACTGGTACTGTGAGGAGTCACTCCTGATCATGCACCCTGGAACTCCCACAGCCCCCAGGGTCCCAGAACCTGGGCCCCGGGAGCTGTGTGCCTTTGTGAGTGGGGCAGCTGTCCACATGCTGCGGGCTCTGCGCCCCCGCCGTCCCCGCCCCCCCAAGAGGAGACCCAACCACAGGCGCTTCCTGCACAACCAGATCTGCAGGTGAGGGGCTGGGGGGGGGGCTGGAGCAGGGGGTCAGGGCCACGGGGCTGGATGAGACCTGAAGGCCCTCAAACAGAGGCTGGAGCCCCAAGTCTGGGTTCAAGGGCCGTTCAGTGGGCATGACTTGTCGTGTACTGGCTCTGTGCCAGGCCCTGGAGACCATCACTGACCAAAGCAGATCCAATTTACTGCCTTCCCAGAGCAGAGCGGGCTGTGAGCAAGTAGGAAGAAAGCCCAGGGAAGAGGGGAAAGGAGATGGAATGGCGCCACCAGGTGGTGACCCTTGAGAAAAGCCAGAGAGATAGAACCGGAAACGGGGGGGGGGAGGGGAAATGGGGGAAATAGGGTTCTCAGTGATGAAAAGTTCTGAAACTAAGAGGTAGTAATTGTACAACCTTGAATTAATTATACTCTTTTTTTGTGTTGGTCCTGGGGCTTGAACTCTGGTCCTGGGTGCTGTCCCTTAGCCCTTCAGCTCAAGGCAAGCACTCTACCACTTAAGCTACAGTGCCACTTCTGGTTTTCTGGTGGTTAACTGGAGATAAGAGTCTCATGGACTTTCCTGCCCAAGCTGGCTTTGAACTGCAATCCTCAGCCTCCTGAGTAACTAGGATTACAGGCGTGAGCCACCTGCATCCAGATAATTATACTCTTAAACAGTGAATTTTGGGGCTGGAAGGTGGTTTGTGGTAGAGTGCTTGCCTTACATGCATGAGGCCCTGGGTTCAATTCCTCAGCACCACATCAGCAGAAAAAGCGGGAAGTGACACTGTGGCTCAAGTGGTAGAGCGCTTGCCTTGAGCTGAAGAGCTGAGGGACAGCACCCAGGCCGAGAGTTCAGGCCCCATGACCGACAAAAAGAAAAAAAAAAAAACACAGTGAATTTTATGTTATATATGTTTTATCTAAATTTAAAAAAAGTAAAAAACTAAACTGGGCGCCAGTGTCTCATGCCTGTAATCCTTGCTACTCAAGAGGCTGAGATCTGAGGATCACGATCGAATCCAGTCTGGGCAGAAAAGTCTATGAGACTCTTATCATGGATAAACTATCCAGAATAAGCCAGAAGTGGCACTGTGGCTCAAGTGATAGAACACTAGCCTCGGGCACAAGGACCAGGACAGCACCCAGACCCTGAGTTCAAGCCCCAGAACTGGCCAAACAAAGGGGAGAGGGGCTAGAAATGTGGCTCAGTGGTAGAGTGCTTGCCTAGCATGCATGAAGCCCTGGGTTCGATTCCACATAAGCAGAAAGAGGGCTGGGAAGGTGGCTCAGTGGTAGAGCGCTTGCCTTGCATGCCTGAGGCCCTGGGTTCGATTCCTCAGCACTACATAAGCAGAAAAAAAAAAGCTGGAAGTAGTGCTGTGGCTCAAGTGGTAGAGCGCTAGCCTTGAGCTGAAGAGCTGAGGGACAGTGCCCAGGCCCAGAGTTCAGGCCCCACGACCGGACCCCAAAAAAAAAAAAACAGAAAGAGCTGGAAATGGCACTGGCTCAATAGTAGAGTGCTAGACTTGAGCACAAAGAGGCTCAGGGACAGTGCCCAGGCCCTGAGTTCAAGTCCCAGGACCAGCAAAAAAGAAGAAGAAAAGGCTAGCGTTATGTTAAAAGGTGGTGAGTATGGGCTGGGAAGGTGGCTCAGTAGTAGAGCACTTGCCTTGCATGCATGAGGCCCTGGGTTTGATTCCTCAGCATCATATAAGCAAAAAAGAAAAAAGCTGGAAGTGGGGCTATGGCTCAAGTGGTAGAGCGCTAGCTTTGAACTGAAGAGTTGAGGGACAGCACCCAGGTCCAGAGTTCAGGCCCAATGACCGGACCCCTCCCCCCCCAAAAAAAGGTGGTGAGCAAATGAAGAGAGAAACCCAAGGGAGGGAGCATCCAGGAGAGTTCTGTCCCCACTGATGGCCTCACCTCAATGACCTTTGATCCAGACCTCAGCCAATGAGGAAAAGACCCCACATACACAGTTGAGGGAAGAGCCACTGGAGAAGGGAGGGAGAATAGCAGTGATGGTGGTGGTGGTGGTGATGATGATGATGATGATGATGATGATGGTGAGGATAGGGGTGATGGCTCCCCTGGAACACCTGTTAACTGCTCTTCCCGTTGTCCCCTTCCTCATCCGCTCTAGGCTCAAGCTCAGGTGTCTCCCATGTTTCCCCACACCCCTGTGCCTGTTGGAGCAGACCCCCTGCCTTAGCATCCCAGCATTGTTCTCCAGCATGTCTGATGAGGGGTTGGGCCTCAGAGGAGGCCTGGGGCCTCGGTTTCTGTTTCTACAGTTGGGGGGGGAGGGCCGCTGGGGAGGACTCCAGCCTGAGACAACTCTGGAGTGGGCACCAGCCCACAGCGCACCTGCGTGTAGTACAGTAATGGCGCATTCCTGCTTGACGCACTGCTCACTTCCACCCTACAGTGTCCTCGTGGGACCAGACCCCAGTCCAGGAGGACAAGGGGGTGGGAAGAGGGGACCAGTCTCTCCCGGAGTGGCAGACTGGAGGGGTCTCCTAGGCAAACCTCCCTGACATGGGTCTCTCCACAGGCAGTTCACCCAGATTGAAGCAGCCACACGGCGCCTGGCCCTCTCCATCCTGTCCCAGGAGGCTCCTACCCAGAGACCGCCACCCCAAAAACCTCCCCCGCCCCCTGCGTCCCCCTTCCTGGGGGTGGCCTGTGCCGTGGCCCCCAAGGAAACCCCCCATGTGGGCCCCAGCCTGAGCCTCGCTGCCCTGGACACCTCTACCCTGGACCTCTTTGATGACATTGTGCTCACCCCACAGTGGCCCACGGCGCCTCTACACTGCCCCCCACAGTCTCTGACAGCAGGTGCGCCCCAGCTGGCCTCAGACCTGCCTGGTCAGATGCCACCCTGCTGTGATCCCCTTCCTGCTGTGGGGGGAGAGGCAGAGCCTGCAGCTCCCTGCTGGGGTTGGGTGGACAGGTGGGGGGCACCTTGTATTTAGGATTCTCAAGAACTCCTCAAGGACTAGGGGACACTCCCCCCCCCCACTCCCTCATACCCAATCATAGCCCACACCAGAGCCTGTCCCTCCCCCTGAACTCAAAAGCCACGACCATTCATTGCCTTCTTTACAGACTCTGGGAAAATCAGCTGCGTCTGGACTCCCACGTCCAGAGCCCACTTCCACCCCATCTTCTCCCATCTATCCTCTCAGCCTCCTCTAAGAATCCTTTTCGCCCTCCTACCCTGGTCCATCTCTCCCCAGTGCCTGTTCTTCACTTTCTCCAAGGATGTACAGAGTCAAAGTGTCAGGTTCAGCACTGAAGGAGGCCAATAAAACCCCTGACCTCACAGAGCTCACTGGCGTGCATGCAATCCTTGCTAGCAATAAATGAATAGATAGAGTTTAAAAAACAAAAAGGGGGGCTGGGAAGGTGATTCAGTGGTAGAGTGCTTGTCTTGCATACATGAGGCCCTAAGTTCGATTCCTCAGCACAACATAAGCAGAAAAAGCCGGAAATGGTGCTGCAGCTCAAGTGGTAGAGCACTAGCCTTGAGCTGAAGAGCTGAGGGACAGTGCCCAGGCCCGAGTTCAAGCCCCACGACTGAAAAAAAAAAAGGGGGGGGGCAGGGATCAGCGGCTCACACCTGTCATTGTAGCTACTCAGTAAGCTAAGATCTGAAGATCCCGGTTTAAAGCCAGCCTGGGCAGGAAACTCCATGAAACTTATCTCCAATCAACCACTCAAAAAAAAAAAAAAAGGGTCTGATTCCTCCATGGACCTCTTAATCCTTTCTTGGTTTGTGCCTAATGTCTTTGCAAGATTTTTTTTTTTTTTGTCAGTCCTGGGGCTTGAACTCAGGGCCTGGGCGCTGTCCCTGAGCTTTTTTGCTCAAGGCTGGTACTCTACCACTGAAGACACAGTTGCCCTTCCCCAGCCAGCCCCAGCTAGCTTTGAGCTGTGATCCTCAGAGCTCAGGCTCCTGAGTGGCTAGGATGGCAGGCATGAGCCATCAGCGCCCGGCTGTCTTTCTTTTGAGAAAGGATATTGAAATATAGCTCAGGCTGGCCTAGAACTCGCGAGCCTCCTGCCTCTGCCTCGAGGTAGAGGCAAGCCCCGTCTTCTAACAGTAAAGACTTTGCAGTCAGTACCCCCGACCCACCCCTCCCATTGCCTGCCACTCTAGCCTCCTCCACCTTCCATTGGTTAGGTCCTCTGAGTCCCCGCCCCGGAGGCATTGCTACCAACAATCAAATCAGGACTAAAGAAACAGCCTACGGCCGGGCGCCGGTGGCTCACACCGGTCATCCTAGCTACTCAGGCGGCTGAGTTCTGAGGATCACGGTTCAAAGCCAGCCCGGGCCATGAAACTCATCTCCAATAAACCACTCAGAAACAGGAAATGGCGCTGTGGCTCAAGTGGTAGAGCATTCGTCTTGACTAAAGAGCGGAGGGACAGCGCCCAGGCCCTGAGGTTCAAGCCCCACGACTGACGAAAAAAAAGAAAAAGAAAAAAGAAACAGCCTTTGGATCTACGCTCCTCCCGCCCCAACCTGGAGCGACAGAGCAGCCTGCGGATTGGCCAGGAGGGAAGGGCGGTGGCCGAGCGAGGCGAGCACCGATTGGACGATCTGCCCAGGCAGGCGGGGAAGGGGCGCGCGGGGCGGGCCGCGTGCCAGGACCGGACTAAACGGTGACCCCCGTCACCCCAGGACCTTTGGGAGGGCCGAGCCCCCAAACTTCCCAGCTTCGCCTGCAGACGGGGCCGGGCCGGCTCCAACCCAGCACTTCCGGGTAAGTTTCCTCCCGCCGCCCCAGACCCATGTCCGCCTCGCCCTCGGGGCGGGCGGGCCCGCGACCCCCGGCTCCTTGCCCCGCCCCGGGGAGCGCCCGCCCTCGTCCCCAGTCGGGCTGCATCCCGGCTCCCGTCGGCAGGTGGGGCTCCTTCCCGGTGTCACTGGAAGAAACTGAGGCCCGGATCCAGAGTGCAGCCAGCCCCAGGCCGCACACCCCGGGTTCGGGCCCAGGGATTGCGCAGGGTGGGGGAGGGGGAACGGGTAACCAGCCACCCCCTTCCCCCTCCCCGTTTTGCCGCCGCGGGGCGTCTCCACTCCGCACCCCCGAATCGGCCTTTTCCTCCCCCAGACTAGTTCCCCTTCCCCGCAGACCCTGCCCCACGCCGCACCGGAGAGTTGAGAGTGGGTGTGCCCGGTGAGGTGGTGCTCCGAGGTCCTAAGTCAGAGACACCAGTCGTAAAAATAAAATGTCAAGCAAAGGGGCTAGGGCCGTGGTATATGTTAGGGAATTAGCTGAGCCCCCCCCCCCCCCCATTCACATCCCTATATCACCAAAAAAAGTGTCTTGGCCCCTAAATGTACGTGTCATCCTCTCCCCTCCCCTCCTTCCCTCCCTCCCCCCCCCTCCCCTCCCTCCCCCTCTGTTTCTCCCCCCCACTCTTTCTGCTAGCCCTAGGGCTTGAACTCAGGGCCTGGGCACTGTCCCTGAGCTTCTTTTGCTCAAGGCTAACACTCTACCACATGAGCCACAGCACTACTTTTCCAGCTTTTTCTGTGTATGTGGTACTGAGGAATCAAACCTAGGGCTTCATGCATGCTAGGCAAGCACTCTGCCACTGAGCTACATTCTAAGTCCCATGACTAGTTTTTTTTCTCTCTCTCCCTCTCTTTGGTGGTGCTGAGGTTTGAACTCACGGCTTGGTGCTTATTGGGCAAGGTCTCTACCAGTTGAGCCAGCCTCTCTCCTCTCTTGACATCTGTTTTGGGGATCCTAACCCATCTACATTCCAGGTTCCTCCTCAAGTCCCATTCTCTGGTCATGGAGGCCTTTGGTTGTGTTTTTATTTTGAGAACTTTTTTTTTTTGGTCGGTCATGGGGCTTGAACTCTGGGACTGGGCGCTGTCCCTCAGCTCTTCAGTTCAAGGCGAGCGCTCTACCACTTGAGCTACAGCACCACTTCCGGTTTTCTGGTGGTTTATTGGAGATAGGAGTCTCACGGTCTCTCCTGCCCGGGCTGGCTTTGAACCGAGATCCTCAGATCTCAGCCTCCTGAGTAGCTAGGATTACAGGCGTGAGCCACCAGCGCCCGGCTTATTTTTGAGAACTTTTTATGGAAGTATATACACACAGAAGTGGTACAGGACAAAAGAGCACTCAAGTGTATACATTTTCACACTGTGAACTTCTGGTCTGGAGATTGAAGTCAAGAAGGGGCATTTCCTCCAGCAGGCCCTGCTCTTGACCTCTGTTAACAGCTTGGTTCACAACAGCTGTAAACAGCCTGGCTTGGTGAGTTCTGACATTACGCAATTCTTACATTTATCCTCCACTGGATGACCTTTTGCACATACCAAATCCTAAAGAAACAGCATAGAGCCAGGTACCAGTAGCTCACACTTGTAATCCTAGCTACTCAGGAGGCTGAGATCTGAGAATAATGGTTCAAAACCAGTCCAGACAAAAAAAGTCTATGAGCCTGTTATCCCCAGTTAACCACCAAAAAGCCAAAAATGGAGCTGTGGTGGTAGGTCTAAGCACTCTAGACAACCCCCACCACGGGCTTTCTGCACAACTGGAGCAGTGTTTGCGGCATTCCCTTTTCCCTTCATTCTCTTGAGCACTTTTCCTTATTGCTACTTAAGAGCTCGCTGGTGTTCCATGATAGGAATCTGCAGCCAGTGCTGGACACTGGACACTTAGATTTGTTTCTGCTCCTTCCCCCTGCCAGAGTCCTGTGATAAAGAATCACTTCACAGGACCCAGTGCTAGGTAATGCATTAGGAGCAGATTTCTAGGTCAGAGGGCTTAAGGCTGTGTCCTGGTTGCTTAGGTGTATGCTCCTGCCAGCCCAAAGGGATGTGGGGTGGCAGAGCCCTGCACAGCATAGCTTTTCATCATTCAGAAGTCATATCCTGGGCTCTGTATGGCCTGGGCAGGTCCTGGATGCCCCTCGATATGGAGTGAGGATGGAAGCCTTCATTGAAGATTCGCTGGGCAGGGCCAGGCCCAGGAAGCCTGGCATCCATGCTCTAGGGGAAAAGTAAAGACTACCAACACGGTACCATCTCCACAAAGGGAAGCAGTAGTCAGCCTGTGACCATGGTGGCCCAGGGTGAACATAGCCACAGAAATGTCCTCACTGCTGGACTGCACAGAAAGAGGAGGAACGTGTCCAGGTCCAGGGGACCACAGTGTGGTGGTATGGAGGTGGAGGCAGGTGTGCTGGGTGCATGGGCGAGAGTCCAGGAATATTTCTTGGACAGAGGCCCAAGGCTGTGCTCCAAGCTCCCCTTTCTACCTGACTCTGCACACGCTGCTCTGCCTCCTTAGGAAATGGCCGCCTCCAGGCATGTCCTGGGCCGAGTTTCCCCGGAATCCTCCATGCTGTTCCTGTGTGACATGCAGGAGAAGTTTCGCAACGTCGCCTACTTCTCCCAGATCGTCTCTGTGGCAGCTCGCATGCTCCGAGTAGGTGCAGGCCCCTCCTCCTTCTCCAGACTAGGCAGTGAAGGCCCAGCCCTCCTCCCTCACACCCAGGTCTCTGTTCCCACTTGGTGGTGCAGGTGGCCCAGCTGCTGGGTGTCCCAGCCCTGCTGACGGAGCAGTACCCGCAAGGCCTGGGCCCCACAGTTCCTGAGCTGGGGGCCGAGGGCCTTCAGGCCCTGAGCAAGACCTGCTTCAGCATGGTGCCTATCCTGCAGCAGGAGCTGGACAGCCGGCCCCAGCTGAAGTCTGTGCTGCTCTGTGGCCTGGAGGCCCAGGCCTGTATCATGGTGAGACCCCAAGTGCCCCCCCCCTCGCAGTGCCCACTCCTGTCCCCATCTGAGGCCTGTGCTCCCTGATGCGGTCTAGGCATGGTGCTGACCTCTCTCTGCCTCTAGCAAACAGCCTTGGATCTACTGGACCGAGGGCTGCAGGTTCACGTCGTGGTGGATGCTTGTTCTTCTCGCAGGTGAGGTCCCGGGGGGAGGGGGGGGGAGGCAGGCAGCTAGGGCACCTGTGATGCACCAGAATGTTCTTGCAGCAGCTTGGACACCTGCCTCCCTTCGCTCTTACCCTCTGCAGCCAGGTGGACCGGCTGGTGGCCCTGGCCCGCATGCGACAGAGTGGCGTCTTTCTCTCCACCAGTGAAGGGCTCATTCTGCAGCTTGTGAGGGACGCTGCCAACCCTCACTTCAAGGAGGTAATGAATGTCCTGTGTGGTCCACCCTGCCCCATGCATAGGACGATATCCAGGCCCATGGATACATCTGGGCACAGCAAGCAAGTGTGTCCTCCAGGGTGAGCAACACACCACCAAACATGAACTAAAGATGTTGAGTGGCCATAAAGACTAAGTGAGCTGCGTGCTCACACAATCTGAGATCTGAGGATCAAGGTTCAGTGTGAGACTCCTGTTGGGTGCCAGTGGCTCACACTTGTAATCCTAGCTACTCAGGAGGCTGAGATCTGAGGATCTTGGTTCAAAACCAGCCTGGGCTAGAAAGTCCTCGAGACTCTTATCTCTAATCAACCACCAGAAAACCGGAAATGCCTCTGTGGCTTAAGTGGTAGAGCACTCACCTTGAGCTGAAGAGCTGAGGGACAGTGCCCAGATTTCAAGCTTCATGCCCCAACAACAACAAAAAAAGTGAGACTCCTTTTTCCAATTAGCCACCAAAAAGCCAGAAGTAGAGCTGTGGCTCAGTGGTGTCACGCCAGCCTTGAGCAAAAAAGCCAAACAACAGCGAGGCCCTAAGTTCAAGCCCCAGGAAAAAAAGAGCTGGCCACTGTCAGACTGACAGTTACAAAGGTCATTCTGGCTCCCTGGAAACCAACGGATAGTCATGGGCATTTGTGGAAGGAGGAGAGAGACCACTGCAGAGGCTACTTCAGGCATCCAGGCCAGCAGCGTAAGGCTCAGGCAGTGGAGGTGCAGGCTTTGTTCCCCCTCACCCATACACATACATTCCACACTAGGATCTGAACTCAGCCTCTCACAGGTGCTCCACTGGTGATACATGCTTCCAGCTTGGCTTTTTTGCTAGTTATTTTGGAGATGGAGTCTGCCAGGCTTATCTGCCCATGGCTGGCTTTGAACCTTGAGCCTCTGGATCTCAGCCTCCTGAGTAGATAAGATTATAGGTGTGAGTGCCTGGCCATTTGAGGGATGTGTGTGTGCCTGTGCACATGTTGGTTCTGGGGCTGAACTCAGGGCCTAAGTGCTGTCCTTGAGTTTTACTTTTGCTCAAGGAAATTTTTTTGGTGCTTAATTGGAGATAAGAGTCTCACAGACTTTCCCGCCTAGACTGACTTTGAACTAGGATCCTCAGACCTCAGCCTCCTAAGTAGCTAGGATGACAGGTACAAGCCACCAGTGCCCGGCTTTGAGGGACTTTTCGACGCAGGAAATGTGCTTGGTTGCCCTTGTTCTATTAAGAGGTGGGTACATAAATGGGCCTCGGGATGGAGGTACAGCCTGGCCAGCCTGGGACAGAGCCCTCGCCCTTCATGGTCCAAGCCCTTCATGGTCCAAGCCTCGGGTGCCCCAAGATGGCAGACAGGAAGGAACTCACCCAGGCAGGCAGGGCAGAAGGGGAGCCCCCGGGAAACTTTTGAGAGTGGTTGGTTTGGAGAAGGCTGCTGCCAAGAAGGCCCGGAAGGTAAGATGGTGGCCCTCAGTTTTGTCACCATGGAGATGGAGACCTCACAGACTTGTCACTATGGAGATTGGGACCTCTGACTCTCCCTGAACCCTCCTCCCTCCACTCGCAGATCCAGAAGATCATCAAGGAGCCCGCCCCTGATAGCGGGCTGCTGGGCTTCTTCCAAGGCCAGAACCCCCTCTTCCGCTGAGCCCGGGGCCTCGACCCTCCAGTCACTCGGCAGTCACTCGGCATCTTGGAAGCGCTTCTCCCGGTCCCTGGATCCCCAGAGTGGTGCAGTCGTCCAGGAGAGCCGCCCCCGGGGGAGGGGGCGTGGTCCTGCTGTCCCATTGGCCGGCTGCTCCAGGAAATGCAAATGAGACTCGTGGGAAGCTGTGCGGCAATTGGCTGGGAGTGAGGCAGAGGCGGGGCTCGGCCCAGCGCCACTTCCCAGGGTGGGCAGGGGCGGGAGAAGGGGCGTCACCGATGGGACCCAGACTTGCAGAATAAACATTGCTGTGACTGTGGACCGAACCATTATTAGGCCGGGGGGGGGGCGGGCGTTCCGGAAGCCACGGGGCTGTGGGCGGGAGAGAGGGGTCTCCAGCAGGTGGGGAGGGGGAGGCGCCTCTTCCCGGCTCCAGCCAGCTGGAGGCACAGGCCACATCTGTGCGGAAGGCGGGGTCACAGCGCGCACCTCCGCCTCTCCCCCCTCCCCGCCGCACCGGCGCGCGCAGCCGGCCCGCTGCTCGCAGACACGCGCGCTGCCTCCCGTGCTCGGCCCCCACGCTAACACACCCGACTCCCCCAGGATCCTGCATCCGGAAGGCGGGCGCGACCACACCCGGTACAGAGGGGAAACCGAGGCACGGGGACGGGGAGAAAGAGACAGGCAGGTGAGTGGACCGACGGAAGAGTGGGCGGAGGGAGGGTGGGCTGCGGCGGCTCTGAAGGCCCCGGTTCCCGGGACGCAGGAGCCGGGCACCGACACGGGAGGTCCCAGCGCTCTGCAGCCCTTGGGGATCGGAGAGTCGAAACCCCACGGAGCCCCTTCTTGAGATCCGGGGGGGCCCCGAGGCGTCCCCCACCCCTGAGATCCCCCAGCTGCAGGAGCCAAGCCGGTGTCACCGATCCCGGAGCCCATCCTGGGAGTCCCGGCGCGAGGTGTCGGCACCCCAGCCCCCGCCTTCCGGATCCAGGTGTCCCCTCCGCACCCCAGCCCAGAGCTGCGTCTCAGGGCCCGCGCTCGCGTCACCATGGCAACCCGAGTCTATTTTGCGCTGGGAACACAGCTCCGGCTGCAGCGCCCCCCGCCCACCCCTTCCAAAAGCGGGGGGCAGCAGGCAGGGGTGGGGGGCGGCCGCGCGGGACCGAGACCCTCGCGAGGGTCGAAGCCCTGGCATGGGCCCTCAAGGGGGAGGAGGGCGGATGGGGCGACCGGCCGGTGGCCAAGCCGGGCGGGGGCCGCGAAGGCCTGTGACAGGGACCCGGGAGGTGCGGGGGTGGGGGGAACCCCGGGAGACCGAGGCCCTTGGGCCCCATCAGCCACGGACCTGGAGGCCAGGGGCCGGGCTGGGGCCGCAAAGACCCCCGAGGACCGGGACTGTGCGTCGAGGCGCGGGCCAGACCCTGTGTCCCTCCCTTCCCCGTCCCTCTTCCCACCTCATCTCCTGCTCTGCGATGCACCCCAAAGGCTCCCCGACCCTCAACCCTCTGGAAGATCCTGGACGCCCCTCATCCTCTGCCCTGCCCCCACTGTACCCTCAACCCTGTCTCCACCTGTGGACCCCACTCCGCCCATGTTGGAGTCTCTGATCCTTTCTGGTGGTTTCTGTGCCCCCTCTCACCAGCCCTCCCTAGTTTCTGAGCCCCGATTCTGTAGGTCTCTACCCCTTCTCTGTCTCTGCTCCGCTGTCCCCCTGGCACCCTCTGTTTCTTCCCTTGCTCCTCCTACCCTGTGTCACCTTCTGTGGGTTTCTAACTCCTTGCTGGGCATTCATCTCTCTCTGTCCCACACTGGTACCTTGATTCCCCCAGGTTCTTAGTTTCCCCCTCCATCGCATTCTCTCTCCCACCTCAGGCCCTGTGTCCCCTCTCTCTGGACTGTTCAGGATCCGTCCCTCCCCAGCGGCTCTGGCTCTCCTGCACCCTTCTTCCTGCTGCAGCTGCAGGACCCTCGGGTGGCCATGCGGCCCGGCATACCTAGTCCGCTGCTCTCCTGCTGCCCTAGCTAGCAAGGTTGGGAGGGCAGCAGCAGACTGTGGAGTCTGGGCACAGCTGGGGCCTGGTGGGGTGTCACCTGCCAGCTTCAGACTTACCTGGTCATGGGTGTGGGCCCATTTTTTTGGTGGTGTTTGTTGTTTTTGTTTACTGTTTGCTTTTATACTGTTTATTGCATGGGGGGGGAGAACCCAGGGCGTGGGGCACAGCAGGCATGTTCTGTGCACTGAAGGCCGTCTCCAGTCCTAGGGTCAGCTCTTGAGCTGTGTGTGGCTGCTGAGCATCAGGTTCTATCTTGTGTGCTGTAGGTGGAGATGTGTGGAAATACATGGCTCTGTGTGCATGAATACATGTGTGTCAAGAGAGTGCTACAGATGTGCCACCGGCTCAGCGGCTGTGGGGTGTTTGGTGCTGTGTTTGGGGTCCTGTCTGGGTGCCCTGTGCTGTGCTGCTGTGCGTTGTCGCAGGACTGTCAGCCTGGGGAAGTTCCAGGCCAGGGAAGCCTTGAATCTAACTCTGTCCACACGGGAGGTGCAGCCTGGCACTCAGGGGATGTACAAAGACTGGGCATGTGTAAGTGTAACTGGGTGCCACCCCTGCAATCACTGGAGCTGTGCCTGTCCCAGGGGTACAGTTTCAGGGGACAGTAAGATTCTGTTAGCAGAGGGGGATGGTGGGGTCACAGAGCCCAGCCAGGGGCCAGCACCCAGTGGAGAGTGAGAAGTGCTGGTAGTCCAAAGGCAGCCTTTGAGCAGTTGAGGTGAAGGCTGCCGTCCCGGAAGCGTGTGAGTCTATGGTTTGTGAGTCTATGGCTTGACAGGCAGCTGATGTGTGGTGAGAGGCTGAAAGGGCACTGTGCCCAGCTGGCCGGCCACAGACACCTTGGAAAGGAGAACCCAGCTGGACTGGAGCCTCTCAGCTGGACCCCCTTGTGCAGTGTGCAACTTGCCCAATTATCCTTGGCAGCCTCCAGTGAATGAAGGAATTCACAGGCTGTGTGCAAGAGCAACTCCTGGAAGGTGGGAGAGTTAAAGAGGAGAGAGGCAGAGAGAGGAAGGAAGAGGAAGGGACAGAGGGGAGGGAGAGGAAGAGAGAGAGAACTCACATCTCTGTGTGAAGATTAAGCCATCCATATTTTATAGGCCTCAGTGTCTGGAGACGCAGGTTCCAAGCCCAGCCCCATAGCTGAGTTTGAGTGCTGTCAGCTGGAGTTCATGGATAGGACCAGACTGGAGCTCAAAGGGCGAGGTGGATCCCAGGTGGAAGAGGGTGGAGCTAGCTGAGCCACATAACTCCCCTCGCCCCCACTGCCAGCCGCTGGATTGACAGTGTGTCCCTGGCGGTGCACACCCCTGAGGGAAAGGGACAAATAAAAACACTTGAAAGATGTTTACTGAATGAATCCCACCCACCCGTCCTTTGAGTGCACTGCCTTTGCTTTGTCCAGGCTTCCTTCATAATCCCATACATAGGCCACACTCACCTCCTACTCACTATGTAACCTAGGCTAGCCTCAAACTCAACATCCTCTTGCCTTATTTTCTGAGTGCCAGGAATACAGGTGTGCACCACCAGGCCCAGCCCCTTCATGAGTTCACATGTTTCATCAATAAGTCGGTATTACACGCATCACCTTCATTGTAAGAAGGATGCCTCGTGGGCATGGGTCAGCTGGGCACCTGCAAAACAGTTCTGTGTCCCTCTCACTGTCTGGGATGAGTGCAGGCCCTGATCCCTGAGGAGCAAGCCTCTGAGCAGCCGTCCTGAAGTGACAGCTGTCAAGATCTTCCTGAATTGGAGGCAGCTCAGAGAAAAGATACCCAGCGCCCAGCTCTGCCTGTAGTCCCAGCTCTGAAGCACCCACCTGTCCCGCCTGCCCACCCTCCCTGAAGGAGGGAGAACAGGCCTCCTCTCCACCCACCCCCCAAACCACTCCTGCCCACTTGGACATGCAAGGCTTGGGCCTGCCTGAGAGGTTGCCATAGAGATGGTAGGAAGACCCACCCCTCCACCTCCGGACTCCCACTTCCCTCTGCCCCTCGCCCCTCACCGGCTGTGTCTCCTCTGCAGCTCAAGACAGCAATAAACACTCTTGGGGGAAACACTTGGCTGGGCCAGGCTCCAAGCTCCTGTGTGTGGGAGCCAGGGTCAGCACCCAACCACCTAGTACCCAGCACCCTCACCCCACTTTACAGATGAGGTGGCCAGCCCGGGTTGCCTAAGAGCTATTGGGCAGCTGGGATGTGGGGGTGCAGCAGGATGAACCACACTACCACTCTACTGACACTGGGAGATGGACAGACAGGCAGAGACATAACTGAATACAGGAGACGGGCTGGACAGGCATTTGGGGGGCTAAAGGCCATATGGGTGGGTTCCCAGCCAGAGACTCCTGTGCCCACTCCCTGGGCAGAGGGGGGATATCTTGGGTCTAGGGATGGGGATGCTAAACACCCTACTAAGCGAAGGAGGGGTGCGCATCTGGAGCTACCTCCTCCATCTGACGGCTTCTCTCTTCTCTCTTCCTCCCGTCCCCTTCCCTCCGTCCCCCCTCGTGTCCCTCCGCCTTGCATCCCACCCTGGCTCTCCCTTCCCACCTCTCCCCTCCCTCATCTCTCCCCCCCCTCCTCTGCCCCTCTCCAGCCTCCGCCCTCGGACCGGCGCAGCCTGGCGTCCCTACCGAAGCCATGTCGGCTCTGCTGCTCCTCGGGACTGTGGTGCTGCTGGCCTCGGCCACTGGCCAGGCCGGGGCGCGCCCGTCCAACGCCTCGAGCGCAGTGGCGGCCCCCGGCCCGCTGCCCGCGCTGCTGGCGCACCTGCGGCGCTTGACCGGGGCGCTGGCGGGCGGCGGGGGCGCGGCAGGCCCGGGTGCCAATGGCACGCGGAGCAGCCCCGCGGGCAGCGCGGGCGCTGCGGCCAGGGCGCCCCCGCCCGCCGAGCTGTGCCACGGCTACTACGACGTCATGGGCCAGTACGATGCCACCTTCAACTGCAGCACTGGCTCCTTCCGCTTCTGCTGCGGCACCTGCCATTACCGCTTCTGCTGCGAACACCGCCACATGCGCCTGGCGCAGGCCTCCTGCTCCAACTACGACACGCCGCGCTGGGCCACCACGCCGCCGCCGCTGGCCGGGAGCGCGGGGGGTGCGGGGGGCGCGGGCGGGGGCCCCGGGCCCGGCCAGGCCGGGTGGCTGGAAGGGGGCCGGGCCGGGGGCGCGGGGGGCCGCGGGGGCGAGGGCCCTGGGGGCAGCACGGCCTACGTGGTGTGCGGGGTCATCAGTTTCGCCCTGGCCGTGGGCGTTGGCGC